AAAAAATCTAAGAGGTTTAAAAAGTGAAAGATTTTCTGTAAAACAAGGCCATCGAATACTGTCAGCAATAGTCAAAGAAACCTTTATGGAAGTTGCAATTCCAATCAAGGTTGTCATTGCTTGACAGCACGCATCAGGAGAGAACCAAGGAGTCAAACAGGGAATAAACAACCACATCCAAAGTGCATTAGCCAAGCAGGTGCTGAGAAAGTATACTGGACTCCTGAAACATCCAGTATTTAACCATGAAAGAGGAACATAAGTTATGTTACTCCACTTAACAAATGTTAGCATTAACCAAAATCAGAGATTTTAGAGATTCTAATCTCACAAGGTAAAGGCATTGCAGACTGGAAGAGTTAGAGATTACAGGGAACCTAGGAATATAAGGTCCAATAAATAGGGAAGCTCCTAACAGGCTGCACACATTCTGTTATCCTAACAGAAAACCTACAGCCAAAAACCCCTCTATTCGTTATTTTTGTGCAGACTGTGTTCTTTTAGTAACAGGGACTGGCAAACAGGCAGCAGTAACACTGGTCCCCTGAACCATACTCAATTGACAGGACTGCACCTCGAGACCCGCTAAGTTTTACACCAGGAAAATCTAGATCTTAAGAAGGGATTCCTCCCCCAACGAGCAGTGGCAGCATGAAATGAAAATACTGTGCCCATAAAATATCAGCAACTATATTTTAAATTCCACAGCCACTTATTTCTTTAAAATTAAAAGCAAAATAACTAGGTTTTCACCTTTGAGTCACACTTCCCAAGTGTGCTGTATGTTAGAGGAATATTTTTTCTCTTCTCTCCTTTACCATTTTTCCTCATCTCCTTTATTTCATCTAAGACAACGGAAACGAAGTAGTGAAGTGTCCAAACCTGCCCCAAGCACTGACATATCTTAACTAAACTAATTCTTGACCAAAGCTAAAAACTTCTTATTGTCTGTGAAGACAGAAGGCATAAGTTTTGGAGACTGATCCTGTGGGTGAACACAAATATCAAAACATGACCATTGCCTCCTATGTGAATTGCAAGAATTTACCCTGGCCTTCCCAGTGATTTTGCTGCTCTGCCTGTACAGACAAGCAGGCAGCGGTCATTCCCTCTTGCATTTGCCAGGCAAGAATGTGGCTGAAATGCACCAAATCCTCTCCACTTTAAAAGGAACGGGAGAAAAGGAGAGGACTACAACAACTTAAGCACAACCTGAGACTTGGAAGATTTGCCTGGCAGCAGAGTAACTAAGAAAAAGGTAGCATTTATATAAAGTTGTTAAGCAGCGATGTGATCACAACAAATCAAAAAGATTTCTAGTAAATTCTTCAATTTAACAGCAGAAGATTAAAAGCTGAAACTGCAAATATAAACTTACAGATAGAAAATGTTTAAAAAAAAAATCTATCAACTCCTTTGGGCTTCACTGAATTTGCTAACACAAGCCATAGAAAAAGTCAAGAGTACATGGTTGCTGTGGTCTTAAACCAAAGCATGACAGACAGTAATCAGATTGCTGACATGACTGGAAAAAAAAAGTATAAGGAAACCCACCTCTCATATATAATACTGTAATAACATTTACCTGATTGAGAAGGAGGGAACTGAGTTAGGGATGAAGTTCTCTCACGCTTTACAGGTGGACAGTAGTTCCCATCCTCTCTATCAGATTCTGTAGAAAAAAAAAGCAATTAGAGAAAATGCAGAAAATCCTGGGGAGATATACTAGTGTTTGCATTTTACATTCAAATCTCTTACCATCTCCGTCTTCCGGACTTGACCCATCTGCTGATCTCTGAAATCAGATGACAGTGATAAAACAAAAATCACACACTGAGCATTTCAATCTCTTCTGATACATCCAAATGTTATAATCATCAGCTTGGAGATTTTTTTTCTTTACTGTCAATGACATACATTCAAGGTAAAACATTATTTTTATGACTTACATGTAGGCATATTGAGTTTCGCTCAGATACTATTAAATAAGATGAATTCAAAATTTTTCATTTACAAATAAGATACGTGAAAATTCATATCCAAGGACTAACATCCTTAGAGACTACGCAACAATTGTTACAGTTTTCCATATATTGAAAATCTGAAAACAACAATTTTCAGATGTGGTTTGTTTTTTAAAGAGATCATAGAAGTTCCAAGCTCATCATGAACACCCCCATTATTTGGAGTTCATTCCAAAGCATTTTTCCTAATTAACGTTAACTGACATGAGTTCCTTCAAAAAGCAAAAAGCTTGGAGGAATGTCTTTCAAAGCACGCTCTATAAACCAGCACTATGACCTTTCAATAGGAGTTCCCAATGGATGATCTGGCATCTTCCACAGTACCAGGAACTAAACAGATTCCAAAGCATTTTTCCTAATTAACATTAACTGACATGAGTTCCTTCAAAAGGAAAAAGCTTGGAGGAATGTCTTTCAAAGCACACTCTATAAACCAGCACTATGACCCAATGGATAATCTGGCATCTTCCACAGTACCAGGAACTAAACAGGAAGCATCACAGGCAACTAGCTATCACAATATTAAAGTCTTTGATCAAAGTTTCACATCTTTTCCAAGGATTTCTAGTTCTCTCTCCTCTACTTGCTCTACCCTTTTCTCAGCTGATATAATTTCCCTCATTCTTGCAAAACATAATCCCATGATGGACTCCTTTCACTACGCCAGGCGACCAGGGCTGCGTTAGCATCGCCATCTCGTCACAAAACCTCATGACACACTGGACCTTCTCCCTAATCCAACACTACCCTTCCATCCCATTCCTGACCCAGGACACACGGATGGCCACCTCGCCTTCATGGCCTCGCTTCAGAGCCCGGCTGACTTGGGAGGGACAGCAGCTCACGGACACAGCCCAGGACAGCCCCAGCACTCCTCCTGCCCCACTGCAACCAGTCATACTTTGGCATGGAGAACAGGCAGACACACAAGGATTGGGCAACACACAACGGGACCGGTTAAGGCTGCATGGGACTATCATCTGAAAGACAATACCTTGGACATAAGAACACCAGAAAGTACAAAACTTTCTACTGAGCACTGCATATTTCAGAATCTGGATGCTACTCTATGATCAGTATTTCACTCAATGCTAATAAAAACCCATTTACACTGCATTTTGCCTATGCAATTAAGTTAAAGGGGTTTTCTGTTTTGTTTTACGTTAGTAGAAGAGTGTAGCTATTTCACTAGCATCTTAGTCAAGTACTTTTGAAACCTTCAGCATTGGGAATGAAAAACTATTGACACTTCTGGAACACACAAGCACCACAACCCCTATCCACACATACCACACAGCCCAATTGCATTAATACTGTATTGCTGATCCATGCTCTTCTCACAGAATTGGCCAAGTACTCCACACTACTGGAAGACGATCTTATTAGGCATCTCCCTGCCAACATACACTAGTTTCCCAAAAGATAAGCCTGAAGTGGAAAACAGGGTCATTATCTGTTTCAGCAATCAGCATCTGAAGTCAGAAAAAATTCTGTTGTGCACAGAAAGCTTTGTCACATATACCAGCAATTTGTTTCAATTTTTAGCAAAAATCCTGAAAGCAAAAGGAAATAATTTGGTAAAAAATTTGTATGAATGGAACTGCTGATCTCTATGTGCAAAAATCCTTAAAAATCAACAGGTGATTTCCCCTCAAACCTTCAAAAATTTAAGCTGTTACTAATATGTGCGGTATTGTCAACGCTCGAGTGACAGAGACCAAAAAAAAAAGTCAAACCTGTATAGCACAAGCTTCAAATTATCACGATTGTAATTTCATCAACTGATGCAAGCACAACTAAATACACCACCAGCACATTGAGCAGGCAAGGAGCATCAATATCCAAACCCAACTCTGTAATACTGAGGGCAAAGCAGAGCCAAGCATCCACTCTCCCGGCAGTATTTCCATGTCCAAGAGTTTCAGGAGACTGAAGCTAAGCAAGAGCCCCCATGACAAACGTGTGTTCAAATGGTCACTGACGCTGCCAACCCTAGTCAAAGTAGATGCTGCACAGAGGTAAAAAAGGACCTCCCTTTCTCTCAAATTTATTTCTTCCTACGTAGGCATCTAAAGATGTAGATCCCTTGGTACGCTACCTCCCATCCTCACCCATTCCCATACTGCTCACACGGTCAAGCATTGCTTGGGGAAGTTGGGACAGACTGTACAAAGAACTCCTATCAAAAAACCACAACAGATTTAAATCTTTCATAGACTCAGTAATTTAAAGGCCAGGGAAGAAAAAAAGCCATAATCCCTTAGGTTGATCCCCAAGCACAGACAGGCCAAAGAACCTCATTTATGTCTGCCTCAGTACCGAAACTCCTGCCTGAGCGTTTAAGATATTTGGGTTCAATTTTCTGGTTTCAAATGAATGAGAATGTGCACGAGTTACTCCACTGCAGAGTCACCGACACTACTGGGAACTGGTTTTTAATTTCATTATACCTGGCATCCAGTAGAAGAGACACACCACTCCGCTTCCTTGCTTTTATTAAAAGAACAGCTGTCAATATTCACTCCCCATCACTTGGGTATTCACCTACCAGGTCTCTTCAACCTTGGATAAATCTCAAGTTTTCTCACTATAATAATGCTTTCACCAGTGACCAATTAGCTCTTACAGATCTTGAAAAATATTCCTAAACCCTTCCTTGTCAGAAGAAGGGCTTTCATGATCTAGTGAAGCCTCATTTCCCGCAGATCCTACCTAGATGACAAGGTGGAATAACCTGCAGTGAGAAGTCCAATGCCTGAGGCAGCAGATGGTTCCTCTCCTCTCCAGTCTGCCTCTGCCCACAGACCACAGAGGAATCCAGAGCCAAGATCTCCAGACCTCTCAGCACCTTTGGTCAAACCTGAGAGGTGGAAGTAGATGACATGGGGGTGGGGGCACACCAGTATACTCTATTAGCATAAGCTTCATTTTCTGATGAAGCCATACAATGAAATAAGTTACCACCACAGCCAGCAGTTGCTTATTTGGGAGAAGCTGGGGAGACAAAACCATGTACAAACTGGAAAAACCATCAGATTACAATTAGTACTATTAAACACCAGCCCAGCCTTTCTATTTCAGGCCTCTCCTTCCAGGCTACCCAAGCTGTACTCTACAGTAATAGATGTTTTACCCAAGCATACTGTACTACACACCAGAGATGAAAGCCAGGACCATCTCATCCTATAAGGAACTGTTAAGGTAACTCAACTTCTCTCCATTCAGTTCTTTGAAATTAGAAGCTGAAGAGACACTTAAACCAGTAACCAGTCAAAATCCAACCTACAATTCACTCCTCATTTAAGAACAGAAGCCACTTATTCCCTCCTCCCCTTACTTGTAGAATTCCAGCCACAGAAAATTTACAATTATTTCTAAACAGAGGCTCCTACAATTCTGACTCGTTTCTAATTAACCAAATTACCTTTTTAAAGGCTACCAACTGCTTTTTAAAAGTTCAAATGAAAGTAACTAACCACCCCAAACTGAACAAACTGAAGTACACACACTGCTTCTTTACACCCATTACTGCCTCACACAGTTGGTACAACAAACCAAGAGAACTTACAGAAACTCCAACAGATTTATGATGTTTTGGTTATTCACAGGAACCAGCAGAAACAGAGAAGGCAAGGGAGGATTAAGGTTAAGCAAAAAAAAAAGACAATGTAATTTGGCAAAATCTCTACTGAAAAAAAATTTAAGATGCAAAAAGTCTTATATAAAAGGACTTCAGAGCATGGTATGGCAAGTCTGCAATCCAGACACTCTGCATATTTCTCAGCATTACTGTATTACCATGGCTCTTGCTTAAAAGCTGTTCCAGAACCTCTTGAACAATGAAGTCCTGCTGGCACGGCTGCCGCAGGCTGGTGGGGCTTGGACAGCTGAAAGTCAAGGCATCATGAGCTCTGCGAGAGGCCGCATCTCCGGCCACACCGTGTTAATGTCTCAGCAAAAATATCTGCCTGTGCATGTTACAAACAATACCAAGTAAACAAGAAACATTCAGTGCTTCTTCTTCTGAGCTCAAGTCTTAATTCGTCTACCTTCCCAAGGTCCTGGGAAGATCATATGAAGCTTTCTGCTCTGGCAAACTGGTGTGAGCACTCTGAAGATGCTTCGACCTTCTGCATACTTCAAGGTAAAACAGAGTTTTGAGAAACCGGGATAATTTGAAGAACACTTGCCAGTGCACATGAAGGCCCATTACACGCCTACACTGAGCACTGCACTATTCCACAAATTTAAGCTTAGGGAGTAAAGTTCAAGGATGCAGAGATATCTGTTGTGTACAGCCAAGAATTCCTGCATACATTCCCCAACAGCATTTTGGTTCTTAAATTTCTTTCAGGCCTGGGTTAACTGGGGTAAGATTTTTCTGCTCTTTAAGAACAAGTCTAAGATAATGACCACTTGCAGCAGTTTTCCTGCAAGTTCTAGTAACACCAGCAATTTCAAGTGATAGAAGTGACATAAAAGTGACTACGCTTACCAGCAATATTTTAAAATATTAACCCTTGAGAACTTTAACCTTTAGAAAAAAATCATTGAAGTAGAAAGATTTCTGCTGCAGGTCATCAGCAACAGTCTGGATACCAAAAGGTGCTTAACCTACAGCTGCTTGTACCTTGCTCATGGCAATCCATTCGGCACCGAGTCCATTCGGCACTGAGTTTACTTGAAATGGCTCATTCTTGGAAAAAAAAGATACTAGTGCAAAAAAAAAGGGTGCAGGTACTGCATGGAGCAGCCTTAACGCTTAACAGGCAAAGGTTTCTCAGAGCACCGGCCTCGTGTGTGTGGTCACAGTGAGCGGTGACACTCACCCGCATCACCAAAACATGGCCCACCGGCCCGGTGAGATTACGAACACTTAAAATTGCTCTGAAAGACCATATGGTAGCAGTCATTTAGTCGTTTTATCTTTCCAAAAATATTTTCCTGCACCATCAGTAGAAAAAAAAATCTTAAATTGACAGCACTTACAGCTTTTCCTACCTCAAGGTAGTGATTTTTTTCCCCCCCCCGCCCAAGTACCTGAATTCAAAATTCTGCTTTAGCATCTTTCTTGCTGCTTTTAATCTGTTAAGTACATTACAGGTTGGCATGACAAGCTCCTTTATATCCAGTGGAGACAGAGCTTTAGCTGCTCATTTTGCCAAGCTGCAGCGTTAGGGCTCAGCCGGA